AAAAAAAAAAAAAAAAAAAAAAAAAAATATGCATCCGGAGTGATGATCATCAGCTTAGATAAGCGCGACAAAAGAATAAGTGGATCATCAGCCAGGTCTTGTGCGACAGGGGAATTTCTCACATATACTTAGCCTAGGTATTTTTTTCGCAAATAAAATTCTTTTCACTACCTCAGCTTTCGGCGAACGTAACATCATTTTTATATTTTTTTCACCCGAGCCTATAAAAAACGTAACGCTGTCAGATATTGTAAATACACCAGCTTCTATCACCACTTCCGCTACTACTGGAGACAGTAACATTGACGAGCGGAGTTAATGATCGAGACTTTCTCAAGCTGACTGAAGAAAAACTTGAGCGTCATGGAATGAAAATGGGAACCTACGTCGAGGCTTGCAGACTTTGCTAGGAAGGTTTTCACCATGTAAGTCTCAAAGTTATTTGTTCGTCTATTCCATACATAAATAATAACTCTTTCGTCCCATTTCTAAGCAACCTATCCGCTCAAGGACTTTTTTTCTCATAAATTCGAAAAAAGAAAACTATCAGGATAGGTTATCTCCTGAAGGTCTTGACCGAAGGAAGGCCATTTTTGGTAATCTTTATTTCGCGTATGGAATTTAGGGATTAACAAGGGGGATTAACGTAATGACGAAATGCATGCGTCATTAAATGGAGATTTTCAGGGGGAGACCGAATCGGATCTGGATCTATTTTCCTGTGAATTTCAAGTGCTATAAAAACGTCTGTTTAAGCAAACTAGCGACATTTTTTTCAGACCACAAGAGTAATGAGTGGGCAGGGTATGGAGAACCGAAGCTACAATTGATGTAAAAAAGATCACTGCCGACGATATCAATATGGAGGGTATGGAGGATATGGAGGATATTGAGGATATCATAAACACTTCGTTATACCCACTACCTCTACTCAAAACAATAATGTGCAACCAGCTCGTACCTCTATCAGTGATACTTATAATGTGCAACCAGCTCGCAACAGATCCCTAAAAATATTTGCTTTAAATATATTAAAATACCTCCCAGAGGATATTCTTCGTGAAGAACCAGATTTTTCGTCATTTAAAACGAACGAAGCTATTCCTGATAATGGGCCGTGCGGAGATTGCGATATGTCTATTTTTTCAGAAGATCCGCCTAGATCGCTCGTTATAAATGTTTGTGGTGACGTTATCCATCGGACTTGCGTGAACAAAGTAGATAATCGTAGTGCCTTAGAAGAGAGAAAGAGTTTTTTTTTTATTGCCCTTTCTTCACTTTAAGAATCAGAATCCAGCTTCTGTGCCTCCTCCAACAATCATGCAATATGTCCGAGTACCTTTTACACCTTAGCTTACAAATCTTCATCATTGTACACAACGGTAACTGGTTTTGATAGCTTCTTCCTCTCTTCCATAAAATACATTTTTCTGCATCTGTGATAATTCCAAAAGTCTTTCCTGTGAACGCATCTCTCACTAGCCTTACGCTTACGGTTTGATAAAGTTGCACAGCATTCTGAGCAATGCCCTTATAAAAATCTTCGTTTGCCAACAGTTTTTGCGGATTGAAGCAAGTCTATTGCGAAATCGACTGGGCCGTGCCTGTGATATTTTTTTCTGGTTGGAGTTTCGGAGTTCAAACTTGCCTTCGTATAGGTTCACACCAGCAACCAAGTACGAACACATATTGTGATTTCAATGCTTTATTTTCGTTTATAGGAATGGTCGTTTACTTATTTTTTATTTTATTTTACTCTATTTTATATGTAACATTTCTGATATCATTTGTGCGATAAATAAATAAATAAAACATTTTTATTAACAAACAAAGAAAAAAAAAAGAATAATTTAATTATAAAACAAAACAGAAGCTGATCATAAAATAAAATCGTGATAAGTCACAGAACCTGCTCTCTTAAATTTCTTATAAATAATAAATATATGTCTTAAATTCCTCACTAAAGAAAAAAATTGAAACTTTACTAGTTAAAATGTTAAAATATCAAATTTTTCAAATTTTCGCCTCACTATTAGAGATACATAATTAGATACTTTCTGTACTTCCCACCCATACTATAATTATGTATTCATATATCTAATTCCACAACCTATACCTTACCACTCCTACAATACAAACATAAGAAATAACTAAATCTTCGCCATTAAGACAATTCCAAAAGCTGCAGCTGCATGTTGAATTATTTGAGATACAATATGACCACCTGTGGACTTATATTTATCTTCATATTCATAAGCCATAATAGAAAATTTACTTCCATAATTGTCCTTAACCTCATCTAATCTTATAATATATTTATCCCCATTTCTTAACGAACCATACCAATCCTCTGTTTCTTCACCTGAAGGACCAGTAGGACCAACAATTTTAAATTTCCAATTATTGTCTGAAATTTTCATTGGTGTGTAATTATTAAGTTGTATTTTAATATGTTTACCAGAACTAGCATAAGGAAGTGTGTCATCATAAAAGTCTGAACATGGTATCCAACCATAATTTTCATATTGTTGTGTCTTTGGATCAATTTCAAATGTACGCCCACTTTCAATATTATTATAGTAAAGTTTAAAACCAGTATTGTTCATGACTTGTACAATTCCAACAGGCATAATAATAATTTTATGTAAATAAGTGAGGATAATTTTAATTTTTATAATTATAATTATCACCTCAGAATACAGTTGTATATATACTAGTTGGCGCTATGACTCACATCTTGATATAAAAGAGATCTCATCTTGTGATATTCGATTGTTACACAGCTGATTAACAGATTTAGTTTATTTGTAAAAGTCTTATTATAGGGATTCGTTTTATAAATGCTCTGTATCAATGAAAAAAAATAATAAAGCTTTGTCTATATTAGACTATTGATTTTTAAATTTATGACCCTTAAGAACTTAATGATTTCATATATAACTGAAGGTGATTTTGTTTATAAAAATAATAACTCAATCTATCATTACCATAGTTTGATGTATTCTTTGAAGGCGTCCGTAGCTTACGGGATATCGAAGTTATGAAAGCGAATAAAGAGAAACCTCTTACCTCAGAACAAATTGACGTAAACTTGAATAATATGAGATCGAAACTTTCAGTAAGCATTTGCGGACAATTATATGGAATTTCTTCTGACATATATTCATTCATAATTATTCTAAATGAATAAATATCTACTGCTTTTATATATTGATATCCACATAAAACTTCTGGTGCCATATAAGGTAATACTCCATAAGCTCCTCCTTCTTTAACTGATTGCTCTGCATTATTTACTGGTTGACACATTCCTAAATCACCAATAAGTGGTACCCTAAAATCATCATCACCTACCTCCGTAATTAATATATTACCTAGGGGTTAGATAAATTAACGGGGGGGACAACTTTAGGTTACACAGACTGATCAATAATAACCAGAACTGTCACCACCATAAATTGGTTACACAATCAAAATTTACTATAAAATTGCGCAAATTTTTTACTTTTTTTTATTTTTTTCGACGCGTACGCATAGAAAAGCAGCCGATCTCAGAAGTCAAGGTTATGTATGCTAGCTCTATATAGGCGAAGTTTTTTTATTAAAATTAGACCACTGGTTGCTTTGTTCTTAATTTTATATGTTTTTTGCTCTTTTACTATACAGAAACTTTCAAGATCGTAGCGATGGCTTAATGCGCAGTAACTGCAAGTTTAATTAAGGCAATAGTAGAAGTTTATCGAGCGGCAGAATATAACAAAAAAATTTGCCGTGCTCTAGCAGAACAAGTTGGAATAACTGTTGCACCTTTGGAGTTGTTAAAAATTAGACATGAAAATGAATTACGCGATTATATGTAATTTCTTTATGATTACATAATGTGGTCACTATGTATTTATAACGCAGTTACTGCGTATTAAGCCATCGCTACGATCTTGAAGTTTCTGTAAAGTATATAGAAAGTTAAAATTACATCCTTTTTTTTCGAGATTTCAATAAGTATATACTAAATATTTTTATGTAAAACGTTTTAAAATAGCCTTTTCTTCTTTTATTATGTATTATTTTTAAGTGTGTAATAAAATTTTATATGTTTTCGAGGTATTTCAAACAGCCGATCCAAAATTTTAAAAAATATAGACAGAATATTTCGAAAAAAAAAATATATTTTCATCACCGATTTATCATTTTTTTTCATAGATTATATTGATTATCGGTAGATCTTTCACTTTAAACATGGGGTACCGTTGCATTTTACTATAATTTACATATGGAGACAGTTTTGGTGATCATTTGACCAGTCTGATTAGCCTGTGTAATATATGTGTTGGCCCTCCCGTTAATTTATCTAACCCCTAGATATTACCTAAGTGAAAATCTTTTGAAAAAATGTCCCAAAAAATCACGTGATATTTTCATCACCGGCATCATACCCTTCCTTATTTCCATTTTTCCATAAGTATCTGAGGGACAAAATTTTTTTAACAAAATCCTACTCGTCACGTACTATCCGTCACATGTGCGCCACACTTAATTTCAGTTAAGTTGCGTAATGCCGGCCATTTCGTGACATTTTTTTCAGGTTACGCTGGGGTAGTCATCAAACGATAAGGTTACACAAAGTAAACTACCCCAGTATTTTCATTCCACGTGATTTTGTAGCATCTGAATTTTAATTGGCGCAATATTTACGCCATACCTGCTAAACAACTTAGTCTAAACTACCTAAACCTATTACATTTATAAGTAAGTGGGTCCTATCACAATTCATGGTAATTGATCATTTTTCAGTTTGGAGAATTCTGTGATACTGGCTGGATAAGTAAAAATAAAAGTAAAAAACAATAGAGTAGTAGGTTGTTTTAAAGGAAGAAAAAAATAAAAAAATATGCCTGCTTGATAACCTACCAAACTCTAACTTATATATTGGCAGTTCCTTTCCTACTACTTTGGATTATTATTTAAGTTTAAAAATAGATAAAAAATAAAAATATAAAATTGTTAATGGGATTTTATTTAGAATAAAAAGTAAAGAAAATTAAAAGTTATTAAAAAATATGAATTTGAATGATTAATATATAGCATTATATTAGCATATAATTATGAATTAATAGGATATTTTGAAATAAAAGCAACATATAATAAAATTAGAATCAAATATTATTGAAAAAAAATGTTAAAAGATATAGAAAATTATGCTAAATCTTATAATAGTTGTTAAAAAGAAGGAAACCTATTGGAAAATATGAGTTAAATATTATTAAAGTAATAGAACTATTTTATTAATAGGAATTGATATAGTAAAATCTATACTTTCCAGTAAAATTAAAAGTTATTATTAAAATATTACGTTATATTAATAAAATATATAAATTATAGTAAATTATAGTATTATGTTTAAGGTTGCTTGTCTAAACCTCTTCAAAATCCTACGATTAGTTTCGTCAAAATTTTACTATAGATTTATTATAGTTTCGGCAGAGTTTTGGCAGTTTCAGCATTTATAATAAGTTTTGGCAGTTTCACCTTTCTCCAAAGTTTCGCCAGTTTTTTAATATAACTTTAATATAGTTTCAGCAGAATTTCGCTTTTTGGCAAAACGCCATCTTGCCTAAACCCCTAAGTTTTGGCAAGCAACCTTAATTATGTTACATTTGTAATAATTCAAAAATTAATTCTACTGATAAATATAATAAGATTAAGATTTCGCTTATTTAAATAAAAATTATTATAGAAAATTAGCTTTTATTAATTAATTTTACTTTAAATTTGAAAATTAAAGATAATCTATCTTATAAATAAATGGAGTTCTAATAGAATTATTATTAAAAACTAAAAAAAATAAATATATTATTATATTAATAGATTATTTTATTAAATAGCTAAAAGCTAAAACAATTAAAATAACAGGTATTAAAGAAATTGCAAGATTTATTTATATAAAGAATATAATTTATAAATATAAATATTTAAAGAAAATATTAAGTAATAAAGAAATGATCATACACACAATCTAGCCAGTGATAAGGCAGTCACGACGTGTACACCTGATAGTTTCATGGATACACAAAGTTGTACTACATCACTTGCTAAGCCGCCTCAGTCACGTGAAAATAGCAATTACGCAATACCAACAAACAATAAGAAGAGAAAAACTAAGACTAAAGGTTCACATTTTTCTGCTACGCTGGATGTGAATAAAGTTCAACAACTGCATAAGGATATTGTACAAAATGACTTTTGCAGGGAAAACCAGATTGAAACGGAGACTGAGTCATTAAAGAATTTTGAACATATCGATAACAACACTCCAATGGAGGATGTTTTTCTCCTTCCAGCCCTTGATAGTAATCCGCAACAATCTGAAATATTGGTAGATTTCTCACTGGATAGGAACGATAACACATCATTGCCAATGCAACCATCCACAACAATGAATACGCGTTACAAATCAGATACTATATGGAGAGAATTATGGTTGCTCAATCAAGATGTCATAATGAACGAGGCTGACAATGATAGCGATAAAAATATCACCAATAATAATGTAAAAGGAACAGTTATGGATCAGGTTTCCTCCCAATCCACTTCATCATTACAAGAATTAGAATCAGCTATTAAAGCGGCTCTAAACACCACTGACACAAACATTGATGATGCAATAGATCATAAATGGTATCCCCCATCAAAAATCAAAAAACCATCAAAAATTCTTTCAGACATTAAAAAACACTCATCACACAACAATGTATCTATCCATGCATATACAGAAAAGAAAGTTGCCACGTATGATGCGTTTATTCAGGACCAGGAAAACTTATAATAAAGGTCACCGGACAATAGTAAAATGATGGTTTTGCCCAAATTAATAAAAATTTTTCTTAAGTAATTAAACTAAAAATCTAACAAATCATACAGAAATGTCTGAAAAATAAAATGAATCATAAATTATTCTTTTAATATCAATATTAACTGAGATCATTAAATTTTCCGAAAAAAATTTTATAATAACGCGAACCACTTTTTAAAAAATTTACTAATTATGCGAACCACCTTTTTGTGTTACACAGAATATATAAAAATCTAAATTGAGTGTATAAATCATGCATTTAACTCTAAACTTAAACAGATAAGTTTAATCCACACATTTTGGCTTCATTAAAAATTGTATATATAAAAAATTCAATGGATTTTACTAGTGTGCCGGGTACTACAGTGACCTCCATTATAGGTTTTCCCGGTCCTGTTTATTCCAATTAACGACATTGATCATTACAACACGGTCGAGGATAAGATCTCTTTTATAGAACTCAATGTACGAAACATGTTTGACTACGCCGGCATCGAGTACAACGCAAAGGATAAACAGATAATTATAAAAAACTACGTTCTTGGAGGAATGAGAAGAATGGTTCGTGTTTTCAACCATTACTTCAAGACTAGCAATTTCAAGATGATCGAAAAGAAGTACTACACGTTACATGGTCAATGAATCTCAAGCAGAGAATTTAAGATCCTAGAAGTCCCCAATAATACAGACAAGAATGCTATAGAAAGCAGCATTCAACGCCTGCTACATGGCTGCCCATTTTTTATAACAGATAAGAGTTATAAATATAGATCCGAGACCACAATGACTGTTTACTTTACGGTGAAGGATGAATATGCCAGACAATTATTGAAAAATGTCTGGTCCATTGATATAGAAAACTATATATATCGTCTTGGCCTCGCGCATTTTAAAACTAGTGATTTTGATGATAGAAAGAAACATAGAAGAGAATTCATTGGCTTTAGCGACGAACATACAGCAGCAAAGGTAATGAAGATGACATCTCCATTCAATCCGAAGAGTGCCTTCAAACAAAGCCCGGACAAGATAATCATCAAATTCCAAAATGAGGCAGATCTCTTTAATGCTTGTGAAAAACGATACCACTTCAATGATTTTAGTGTTAAAGGTTACCCAATTGGTTATAATTGGCCACAAAGAGATCAAGCCATCAGCAAACTTAAAAAATCACAAAACGTTAATATTCATCATCAGACATGTAATCAATCAACATCAGATGTTGCCAATGTGCACAACATTAACATGACCCGTTGCTCCAGCGACAATGATAAAATGAATAACGTGGCCAATAAACAACACAAGTCCATAGAATATCAGGAAATAATTTGCAACGGAAAATATACAGGAGAGATACTAGCGCAAATAAATCTCGCAGAAACCAGAAAGAGTTTAGTCACTTACCATCGTGCGCTAGTAGCTCTAATAGCATACCTCTTGGAGTCAATTCAAGGAGGAGATTAAATAACAATAAGAACAACTTGATTAGTATGAGTAAGACACCCTTCGACACATCAAGTACACATAGTAATACACCCATCAATATCAATCGCCAAGGGGATTGGGATGAGGTGATGAGTCTCTGCTAATTGCAACCTCTTCACTTCTTATTCCTTTTCCAGAACAACTGTCGAAAGGAGCGAGAAGGGGGACAATAGCCGGGTCCCATTTATTCCCTCTCTAACTAAACACGGCTTAACTTATGATAACATGACTGACTCCACGCAAAATCAAAACGCTCAAAATTATAATGGAGTTATCGGAAGTGATGACCCTAATAACAATGATTTTACAAATTCACAATTCACAAATAATAACAATAATCCTAATTATAACGCAAATAAAGACTTGATGAAAGACATTAATGATTTTCTCACAAAAGAACGATGTAGATTCCAGTAAAACGACAGACAACAACTGAATCTCAGTTAATTTTCCCTAGCTTATCATTTGCCACACACAACATCAATGGTATTAAGACCAATGTAGATAAATTTCATCTTTTATTACAAGATTTACCGGATTACGATATCATTAGAATCAATGAAATGAACCTGAATAAAAGTGATGCGATCTTTTTGAATAATAAATTACCAGATGGCAGACTCATCTACTCAAAAGGAAACTTGAATAAAATCAGTGGAAAAGGAGTCGCAATATATATGAAACATAAATGGGAAAAACATATAGGTAGCATTGATAGCCCTACTGATAATATTTTATCCATTACTTTAGTTTTCAAACAATGCAGAATAATTATTACTCAAATCTATATGCCACCTAATGACGCAACCGCATGATCAGAAGTCAACAATTATTTAAAGACATTAGTCGATGTATATCAAAATACAAATGATAACACAACTTATCTGATCATTGCAGGTGATTTTAATGCCATCGTCGATAAATATATGGACAAGCTTCATGTAACAAAAAATTGGTCAGCCAACACCAAAATTTTAGATTTTTTGAATAATAATGGTTTTATCGATACATTTAGAAAGCTAACCCTGATCTCAGAAAATTCACGTGGTCTAACAGCGTGAACATGACTCGTATAGATTATATATGGCTGAGTCCTAACTGGTGTAATGAATTACTACACAGCACGATCATAGATGCACAAATGTGCACTTCTAGTGACCACAACATAGTGACTTGCATTGTTAACACGTCGGATATTATTAGAAATCACAAAAGATCAACCTGTGCAAGGAAGAACAATGAAAGAATAATTTTCGACTACGCAGACATGAATAAGGAAAAATGGGACAAATACAAACTGAATACGCACGATTGTTTTAAAGATCCCGAACTCTGGAAAATCCTTGACCAGCCCCAGCATGATATACAAGATCTTGATAGGATTTGGTCGATTATTAAAGGACACATGCTTAAATGTGCAACTAGCTCTATACTGAACAAAAAAATTCGTATGGGCGCAAATATGAAAAAGAAAAAAGCAGATTTACTAATCCCAAAACACTTGTACATGCAATTAAGACGACTTTGTTTAATGTATTCAACATGCAAGAGATTAATGGGTCAACCCATACCACTAAATACGAAAAAAAGGTTTATTACATATATTAACCACATCAATCAGCAATGCACAATGTCAAATTACATGCCCCTGATACAGTCTGGGACGCAGCCTGGGCAAACCATATTAAAGATGCTTGGACAATAACTATGAACATTATCAAACAACATCGAACATCTGCGCAGAATAAGTTGATTGAGGATTTTATTAATAAAAGAGCTTCCATGATACAAAATAACCAAACCAAGATGCTCAACAGTTTATTAAATAGACATAAAGATAAGATTGTCGTGGACAGACTGATTCAAGACAACACAACAGACAACTCGATCAAGTTGATCACTGAACCCGAAGAAATTTTAGAAAAATGCATTGAACACTACCCGGACTTACAAAAAAAGAGACTACACAAATTTGATACAATCTCAGAAGAATGGAGAGACATATATGAGCCGATTGGATCTATTAACGATGATATCTATAAAGATATAATGGAACAACCTACAGTCGATGAATGGTTTGCTACCTTAAAAGAATGTAATGACTCATCAGCACCAGGTTTATCGAATATAGGGTACAAACTTATTAAAAAAGCTGGCGATAAGGCACAAGACTGTTTTAGACGTTTAGCTGAGATTACATACTGAAATGCCATTTTTCCAGAGGAATGGACAACATCACAAATTTTTCCAATCCCGAAACTGAAGGAATGGAAATATCAGCTCAATAACACGCGCCCCATTTTATTAATAGAATGTTTAAGGAAACTTACAGTTAAAATTATCACAAAAAGATTGAGTGTGTGCTTGCTACAACACGACGTCCTCAAAAGACCAAATTTCGCAGGCCTCTCAGGAGGTTCTACAAACACTCCAATTCATGTGATCAATAATATTATTAAAGATGCACACGCTTCAAAGAAAGAATTGTGGATTTGCCTACAGGATATGGCGAAGGCTTTTGATTCTATTGGAATGATCCCGTTAGAAATGGCGCTAAAAAGGATTAAGTGTTCACAACCCCTAGTGGATTCATTATTAATTTATTCAAAAACAGGAAACTTCGAATAATCACGGCATATGGACTTTTGAATGTTTTCCAGGCAGGGGACGGCATAGATCAGGGAGAAACAATTTCACCACTCATTTGCATTGGCGCATTTTCTATGATCCTCTCCTTACACAGATACATCAAGACAAGAACCTAGGTTATAAACTCAATATGAATTGGCCTACCATAGATTTTCACAATGTTATTGCATCTGAAACTACACTTAAGATTTCTTGTATAGCATACGCAGACGATACTGCATGGATTGCTTCTACACATGCCGATCAAAATTATCCAGCCACTTTGTTTTACCAAAATTATGCAGATCATCACGTGCTGATGTGACAAAAATATTATACAATTTTATATTTATAATTACAATAAACAAATTTCCATGCTTCACATTTTTCACATTTTTCAAAATTTTTCAGAAATATAAACCATTTACTGAGTAAATTTATAATTTACGTGATGATAAATTAAAAGATTTAAAAAATCCCGTAACTTTGTCAATATTAATCTAATAAACACATATTTACCACCATTCGAATCGCCTCGATGAGATGAATCCAATAAGCTAAAATTCATGGCTATACGATCACTAGATCAAAACTTATTATAAAATTTATTTAAATCTTTAAAGTGCAATTACATATCGAATATCGATCCTACAAGAATGTAATTATTACCATTCGAATCCACTTAATGAGACGAATCTAACAAATCTTAATTCATGAAGATCCAATCACTGAGTAACGAAATATTCTTGATATTCGATTTTTAAATTTTAATCTATAATCTTACGCAAATTTTCATAAACTTACATAATAATATGTTTATGTAAGTAGTCATAGGTCAAGCCATAATCTTATATAATATTATTTCATAATGGATAATACTTAATAACCTTATTAAATTTTCTGATAAAAATACTTGAAAAGCATGTTAAGGATGCATGAATAGATATATCTCCAAAATATTATTGATAGCATACTTTATAGAATTGAAGAAGCTATTGCCACCAATGAAAATAGAATTCATTATTAAATTTTTATTTAAATTAACAAACAATGGCACAATGAATATATATAACTTTAAATTTTAAATTTCACAATATTATGCATATGTAAGTTTATCACTTTAAAAAAGTGGCCAGATAATTTTGATCGGCATGTGTAATAAAGATGAGATAACGAAGATCATTAGCATATCGAACTCGTTCTTCGAACTAAATGATATTACGATCAATGGAGAAAAGTCTGAACTCCTGATTTGGAACACACCCAAAGGCACTACAAATGAAATTAATATGGAAACCGAATTGACATTGATAAAAGCCAACCCTCCCTTAAAAGACGCTAGATATCTGGGCAGTGTTGTACATGGGACATGTCCCGCCAAAATTTTAATGTCCCGGACATTGTCCCATCCATGTCCCGTCCACGTCCCGTCCAAAAATTGTCCAAGTTTACAATTTGTCTTATCAAGACAGCACCTAATGGGCTATAATTTATAATTAAGATCATGTGATTTTAATGTCCCAATGTCCCGGACATTGCTAAAATCCTTGGACGTGTCCTGGACTGTCCCGTCCATGGACATGTCCCGTCCCTATGACAACACTGTATCTGGGCATTTATATCAGAAGTAGAGCAGGCCAGAGTCATGTAATTAAAAGAGCGCAACAAGAAATTACTTCAATAACTAACACACTTAGATACAAGAAGGTCACAGCAAGCCAAATAGCATATGTCAATAATGTAGTTTTAATGGCAAGACTCGAATACAGACTGAAAACTACTTTGGTCAGTGAAAATCAATGCCAAACACTTCATAATCGTATGATTACTCTACTCAAGACAAAAATGAGAATCATAAGGTCCGTGAATAATAATTCAGAATTTATTATTAGAATTAATTCACAAGATTGGGATAGAATAAGCACGAGAATCATGCTCAGAAATGCACAGCTTCGCATAGGAGTACAAGGATGCATATTGGTTGACCACACAGAGCTGATTCTAAAAATCAATTTACAAAATAACTTTAACTTTAATTTATTGAAATCATTTAAGGATCAAATATTTAGCTTCAGGTTAACAGATCTTACCGCATGGAATTTAACCACGCAACATCAACACACTATTATTTCAATCTTGCATACATCTGTTGATGTAGGGCATACGAATTTCAGGAAACTAGAACAATCAAGGATAAAGGCCATTAAATCTTTTATCAAACGACCTGCGGAATTACTTGATATTAACTTTCTAGATCACATTACACACAACAATGGTGTAGATATGTTATTCTGGACTCAGATCAAAAAGATTTTTGGTAAAAATCCCAAAGGGCCAATCCCAAATTTTTTTAAATACTTGGAAGAAATAGCTATTGATCAGAATTCGAACGGACAACGTACATTAATAGAACGGTACCAAGCTACGAATATCCCGACTAATAAGATAGTTTCACTTACACCTTCTCCTCCTTCAAGAGACGGAAGGCATAAAGAATGGATCATTACACACGATGGAAATGAGTACCAATTCAGAAAAATTTTAAAGAAAAATCTCACACGGTTCTCATATCAACATTAGATCATACAAGACAACAATAATTTGATTACCCAATGCGCCAGATGCCAACTCATATAGAGGATGATCCTATGTGCGTAAAGAAGGAAAAATATCACAAATCAACAATTATTGACGTAAAACATTCAACTAATAATTACCAGGACACTTCCACTTTTGAAATTTTGACACCTGTTAATTTGATCAGGACGAGAATAATTACGAAACCTTTGTTGTACAAGAATGAATCCCCTTTCGTATCACTGGATATCCTGAGTTATGACCTAGACATTATTAAAAGAACCATCTCATCAACATTACTAATCACGGAGCTCTCAGATATCCTTGGATGCTTTGAACAAATTGACAATCAAGAGTTTCACTTTTTTACCGATGGTTCAATGGATTTGAATTGCATAAACAATGAAGATGTCGTTGTAATGGGAGCAGGCTGGATTTTAAAAAATACAGATATTAGCTTCTCATGTGGAATAAGATTCCACCCCTCATCAACCAGACCTGAATTGCTTGCCATACTGACAGCTTTACTAGTCGCCCCAGTGAATCATGGATACACATTCATACGGATAGTTAGGCAGCGATCGATGGTATCAACACAATTAACAATATGGTATCGAGATATAACCACAAATTTCTTAAACTTAATAATTATATCATTCTTTTTGCCATTTATGATATTATCACATCTAAGAGATTGGACATTGAAATACATAAGGTCAAAGGTCATTCAGGTTGCCATTGGAACGATATGGCTGACGCGATAGCAAAAATAGGTAGAGAAACGGCGGTTGTCAATTCTAATAGATTAGTTGACTTACAATTTATATGCAGTTATAGTTTTCCTTTATTATTTCTGCCAGTTTGGCATAGTATAGAGATAGATAAATGTGTTCGACAATTTTGTAGAATAGTTTCAGAATCATTGGAAGAGATCACATGGTCTTTGAATAGTAATTGGAAGGATTATTTCGATAACCAAACACATGATACATCAATAGAATGGCATTGGACCGCACACTAGCGCTATCTTAATAACATTAACAAGAGCTGTTGTGATAATCTTGATACTAATAATACCCTAATTAATTTCATAAAGTCTTCAAATAACTTATTACCTACAGTTGACAATCTCAGAAAACGTAACGACATTTATGATGATGTACTGTGCCCAGCTTGCCGTGATCATGAAGAGACTTTGAACCATTTAGTAATATGTGCTGGATTGGAACATGCGTTCCTCACTGCTGAAAAAGAAATGATAGATAAGATTCGGAAATATCTCAAACGTTTCAAGTGCAAAAAATCTGGCACAATCAATGAACTCTACATCAGCATATTTGAATATAGAGACCCAGCTTTCCCTGAATTGAAATAAAGGAACAGACAGGAATTACTACGTGGTTTGATTTCACACACAATCGTAAAGAAGCTTAGAAAACTCACATCAAAAAGAATTGCTTCACGCCTGTCTCTAAAGATCATTAAATACTTTCATGAAGCTTTTAGAGAACATGTTCGGAAACCGCGATGTAAAATGATGAATGAACTAGAAGAATCGTTGCATATTACACCTCAGGACAAATGTAAAACCTCAAGGATACATAAGGAGGACGTAGAAACTCAACGCGATCACTATCGACATACTCTAACTGCATTTCGTGAACAAAAGGCATCAAAATATAATGAAGGCTTGCGTCGATGCAAAGATCATCTATACCGTTTGGTAACAACTGGTTTATTTCCTTCCTGGAAGTCTAGAAAAATTTCCATTCAACATAAAAATAATAATAATAATAATAATAATAATAAAAATTATGATAAAGTTGCAGTGTAGTGGGTCCCGTGATCACCAGATATTGAAGATAGGGCCTTTATAGCTAAGATGACCTGTTACTAAATGAAGTCTACCTACGAAGTCAAACGATCACTCGACAGTGCACACATGGGGTACTACCGGTATGACGAGTGGTTTGTAGTTTAATTATATTAGAGTAGTTATTAGGAAATTTTACTTTGTATATATTTTTTTATTTTTTTTACTTTAATAAAACTGCAAATGCGCTGTGGAAAAACTGTCTCTTATANTAAAAAAAAAAAAAAAAAAAAAAAGTAATAAAGAAAGTTATTTTAATAATAAATTGGTTGAATTACTAATAGAAGAATTTTAAATAATTAATAAATTAATTAATAGTAATATATTAAAAATTAATTGCTGATCCGCATATAGTAGATAGAAAAACTATTACAAATTTGAAAGCTACGTTTCCCTCATAAATAAGTTGAACAATTTTTAACCAAATCATTTGAAATTTTTATTGAAAGGACTTTGAGATTTGATTTTTTTTATCCAAATATTTAATGTAATTCTTATAAACTCAAAATTTTAAAAATACATCTATAAATTGAACAAGTCAAAATTACATATGAAATCTGCATTTCCCCTATAGATAAGTCAATCAATTTTTAACCAAATTACTTAAAATTTTTGTTAAAAAAACCTTAAAATTATATTTTTTTTTATTCAAGTATTTAATATTATTACTATAAAACTTAAAATTTTACAAAAAATTTTTAAATATTGCCAATTAGTATTTGGCAATATTTTGAATAAATTTGCGCCACTTTTTTTTTGCCTTATAAAAGTACCGGCTAGAAGCCTCATTACATTTACATACTTTTACATATGTATTAATATATTTTTTAAAAAAAATTAATTGAAAAAATACTTCAAACTCTGCAAAAACTACCTAATTTTAAGTAATTATTGATTTTTTGTGATTTATTCAAATTTTTCAGATTTTTAAATTAAGTAACTTTACAAAATAAATTTTGATGCTTTAAAATGATCTGCACTGCCACTAAATCACATATTCTGAATGTGTACATAGTGTTTATTTTTAGATTATTAAGTAAAATCAGGTTTTCAATTAGTCTATTGTTCACATGCGAATTAGCAATTAAAAATTAAACAAAGAAAATATAAAAAAATCTCAAAAAAAAAACAAAAAATATATTATAATAAAATTGGAAAAAAAAGAAAATTTTCAAATTAAAAATAAAGTATTATATTATAAATTATAATATAGCAAAATAAAACAATAGTCTGAAAATTTAAAAAGAATTATATAAAATTAAAATAATGAATAGAAAGATATTAAAAACATAGAATTATTAAAAAATATATTAATAAATCAAATTTTAAAATTATAATTAAAATTTAAAGAAGCTCAAATTTTTATAAAAGAAGATAAACCATAATTATTAAAATAGTTATTTCTTTAAATTTAATTAATTATTTAGTTTATATTTATAATTAATTATTAATATTATATTTAATTTAAAATTTAGTTTAAAATAGTTATATTTTATTATTTTATTATTTATTAATTATTAGAATATCAAATAAATATTAACTAATAGTAGTTAAATATTTAACTAATTGATAAATAAGAAAAGTAAATATATTAGAAATTAGTAAAATATTTTATAGTACTCTTCCCCCCTTTTATTTTTTCAAAAATTTGGATTCTATTAAACATATAATAATAAAAGGACCGGACATCACATATATAACTCACATTTGAGTTTTAGCAAATTCAATTAAAATTAGGTTAAACTCATAATTTTAGAAAGAGCAAATTGATTGAAAATTAATTAATAGTCATAATTATGAGTTTTAGCAAATTGTATTGATTTTACAAAGTCATATTTTATATTTGAGCAAATTGGTACTTTTTTTTAAATTTAACTTATCCTTTTTTTTTAACTTTATAAATAATATTTTTAAAAATATTAGTTTC